GACGCATGAAAAATATCGGATAAATTTATTTGATATTTGAAATTTATATAAATAAATTTATGTGCAACCAACCTCTGATGCAAACAGTAAAATATGGATTATAATTTCTCTCATTTTTCTTGCTGTTGCTGCTGTTCTCTTTGCCATCTAATCCAAACTAATTATAATGGTAAGCGGCAGAGAAACAGATCAATACCATGCACTAAAATGCCATATCAACACACATCTATTCCAAATGTGGTGAACGAAGCGAGCATACACAACGACAAACGGCAATACTTTTTTTTTCTCTCCTGATTTAATTGATTTCATCTTACCAACGAATCATATTTATATTCATCCCAAGAACTAATTAAATCATGTTCGATCTTCAGTCTTTTTGTTTTCTCGGATATTTCTTCTGCTGAATGAGCAAGCATTTTCGCTTGTTCTCGATTTGGATGCCATGAAAGTAATTTCAGTAAAAAAAAAACGATGATATTTTCCAGATATAGTTACAAATGGTTTACTTTCCATTTCTGATTGAACCAATTGAATATGTGGTGGAATTGACTTCATTCCAATCTCGAAATATCAAATTTATCCGAAATGGAAATATCAAAATCAAACGTTTCATTTCCGGTCGATTCGAGTTTTTAAACAATTTAATCACCAATACAAAAGAAGCTCGATGTTCGAAATTTATGTGCATTTGCATCACGAAAATTTATTTGTAATTTCCCATCGATAAATTTCAATTACAATGATCATAAAATTTAGCACCGCCCGTTTCAAGTCATAACCATAAATAAATCCGTGTTTTGTAATGAAAACTCCAACCAATTTTATGACATAGAAATTAATCTCGACTTTAAATTCCGCCCAAATTATGTCCGTCATGCCGTCAACGAACATACTGAGCCAGTCGAGCTACATATCTCTCAGTCAGTAATATTAATTACACGGTGTACATTCTCTCCCTCGCTATAATTGAAACTTGATTGGACCCATGAGTCAAAGTGTTTCATAAATTTTTACTTTGTTACCCATCGATGCGACAGTTTCGTTGATCTTGTTGTTGTTCCTGTTTTGATTTTTTTTTTTTTTTTTTTTTGGAAACGTAATTGAATTCTGTGTATGCAGCTTACAAATATATTTGATTATCCATCTTTAAGCTTAAATCAAGCCATTTTTATCCATTTCTTTAATATAATCATAGTCTCATTTAAAAAAAATCAAATTTAATTAGTCACTTCAATGCTTGCGTTCGGTGCTTTTTCTTTTGGTTCATGACACATAAATGAAAAAAAAAAAAATTTTTAACATCAACCGGGCGCATACTGAAACACGATGAAAACATTTTTATATTTAATAAACGAAGAAACACGTTTTGCATAATGCTTTAATTCTGCATTATTCAACGATAAAATTGATGCTGTTAAATGAAATTGTAACCGATGGGATTTTCGTGGAATTAAAAGTTCGACGTTATTATTTTTTATTACGAAGCTGCTATATGGGTCGGGTAATGGGAAGGGAGGTGGTAATGTATGTATGTGAAGCCCCCAATGAACTGATATTATGTCTACAATGTTGTTTACTGTCGGAATTGAATGCGGTAATTTGTTTGACCACAGTTGCAAAATAATCTCCGGAAAGGAAGAGTGTATGTAGTATATATTTGCCTTATCAACCGTCCCCTTCCTTCAAAATAACACAAGAATAACATAAATACATCTCGCAACAATGGAAAAATGAAGGAACATAGGAAAGCTAAAAGTTTACTAATTAAAAAAATTAATCTCTCGCAATATAATTGCGGTTTTCTGTCGTAATTGGTAATTTTTCTTTCATGTTTTGTTTTATTTCTACAGACATCAATTGGTTTTTCAGATGTGAGAAACGTACCCGTTCAACACACACATACTCACACTGCCATCAAAGACATATAACAATCGATCAATAGCCGTTTTGCCAATTCGGAGACTGTACGTTCATGGGAAAGTGTGCATCAAAACAGCAACTGCATCATCGGGAGCTTTTGCATCAGCAAAAATATAATTGGAACGATAAGAGTAATGGACGAACGGTCAATGGAAAAAACACTAGATCATCGATATCCGAACAAAGCATTTTTCTGTTGATTGAAAATGAGGTAATTCAATTTTATCCAGTTGTTTCATATTGCTCAATTGCATTTGTTTATTTGTTCTTAACTGTGTCTGTGTATGTGTGCGTGCGATTGAGCGAGTGGACAAAGTATCAGCACGGAAAGTTCATTTTTCAGTGAGTGAAACCATGCAAGAAGCGTGCTTGTCCTGTCGTCAATGTGCTTGCATTCGATCAGTTTAGTTGTCTGCAATCTCGTTCTAATCACCGAAATGTCGAAACCGAATTGATGCTCATCGATAAATGAAATTTCTTTCTCTCTTTCTTTCGTTATTTCGTTTTTTTTTTTCGTTTAAATAAGTGGATTGGATGTATGCACCGTTGAGCACAAGCACAAGCACAACCTTAATTCATTACATTACCAATTAAACAGCGCATTTAAACGATGAAAAAGAATCGTTTCTCTATTCTCAGAATTCAAAGGAGGCAAATTAAAAAAACATATAGTGTAAAACATCAAATTATCCACTGTTTTTTGCCATTGTAGGCAAAATGTCAGTTTACCTCCACTGTATGAAAATTGTCGGCAAAATGTCATTTTACCTACATTTTTGGTGGAACGGTGTTTCAATGTATTAACAATGTAGGTGAAATGACATTTTGCCTACAATGGCAAAAGACAGTGGGTAATTTGATGTTTTACACTATATGTTTTTTAGTTTGCCTCCTTTGAATTCTGAAAGTATGTATCTCCTCTATCTTTCTCTCTCTCTTTGTTCGTTGGTTACGAATTTGAATGAATAGTCTGCATTTCCAGTAGCAAAATTGATTGAGGATAGCTAATGCTTATCCAGGATGAACATGACTCATTTTCTGAAATTAATTTCGATTTCAAAATGCGATTAGCATTGGATGGAAAAAAATAAAAAAGTAACGACAATCACAACACGGGAATATTAATGCCTTTTCACTGGTTCCACATAGTATTTGGTTTCATGTGTCAATAGAAAAGCAAACAAGCACACTTAAACACATACACACCGCCCGTTTCTACTAGAAACCACAAATGAAATTAATTATTTTCGTATTTAGTTGATTTATTGACATTAACAATTCTGTACGATGCGATTTGTGTGCTGTTGTTTTTCCCTTTTTCACACGCTTGCCTCTGTGTGCGTGTATCTGGGTCTTTTTTTATGTCTTTCCCTCTCTCCCTCTCTGAGTATGTGTCTGAGTGTGTGCATCGAAAATCCGGGAAATCAGGCTTACAGCTCATTCAAACCAATATAAAATTTTCGTATTCAAAATGAATTATGTAGCACTTGATATAAAATATAATGCGGAATTTTCATTGAGCCTATTCATAGCCGAATAATTGGGGATTATGGCATTAATCGATGGCATCGCATATACAACATCATCAGCGCAATGTTTACGCACACGATAACACATTAAAACGTCAAACAAAACACTCATTCTCTCTCAACAAACACACACACACATTTCGATTTCACTTTCATAAAGGACACGAGCATACAAGGCGCCGTCGTTGTCAACAAAAATAGCAGCCTACATAAAATGAGCATTTCGAACAAAATGATTAACTTTAACATACTCGTTAAGAAGCAAAGACGAATTCAATGCGAATGTTCAAATTTAATTCGCCTTTTGTCATTCTCTCTCTCTCTCTCTCTCTCTCTCTCTCTCTCTCTTTTTCTCTCTCTCTCTCGCAATGAGAGAAACCAACAATCGATTTACAAAAGCATAATACACATGTTGAAGAGAAAAGTGCACACATGCACAGATCAACGAGCCAGACAAAACGAAACAAGCACATTAAATTATCATTTAACGCGTTTTCATTAAGTCAGTTTTGATGATTATAATGTTTCTATGCAATTCTTTTCATTCGAAATCCTATGGTTTACAGTGTGAGAAACAGAGATAGATAGGTGCAGAAGAGAGAACTAAAATACAACACCGACATCTCTCACCATCATCTATTTTATCTGTTTGAATAGTATTTAATTCAGTTGCTATGACGGTGATAAATACAAAATATATTCCATGAAAACATTGCAATGAACCTAAGCTCCGTAAATTGGACTTCCCACGACACGAATTACTACGACAAGAAGAATACACAAAAGACACATTCACAGCCAACAACAAGAAATGAAAAATTTTCTCTAATTATAATTCTCTAATTGTAATTACAACCGAAAAAACCATAATAACAAACCTCATGTACGTTATACATATGTTAAGCATGTTTGGATGCCTACTTGTTATGATATGAAAATCACCAAATGAAAGCATAAAACAAAACGGAGGCGGTGAACGATAAAAAATTATATTAACATGATCCTCACTGATGCACGATACAAATCACGAGACATTCATTCAATATTTTTCAAGCAATAAACCAAATTCCCATCGTCTGTTTCAATTCACTGAACCAATTTACATGTCACACGTAAATATGTTTTCATATTTCGGTTTCGGTAAAAAAAAGGTCAAAGGTCAACAAGTGACAATATCTCGATTTAAATCAAGTTAATTTCTTTATTTTCCCTCCTTTTCCGTTCTTATTATTTAAAATATCGCCAATTATGGCAACATACTGCGTTGGCCATTTCTCCGGTTTGACGTCAAAGTGCCAACACATTTATTAGTTTAAGTCAAAACTGATATAACGCAAAAAAAAAGAAATTGAGTTCTCAGGAGGATTCAATTACTGCATCGAAATTTTATTTAATGGAAACAAAACACAAATAGAACCCATGTTGTAATCAATAAAAATCTTTTGATGTTTTTTGTGTGTGTGTGGTGAATTCGATCAAGATAAAGGTGTGTATTGATTATTCGATTGTATTCCTAAGACTTATTTTTGTACTCGGTATACCAAATAGATCGTCGAAATGCGTGGGGACATTTTTACACATCATAGGACTGAAACGAGTACGGCGCGATTGAAGGTCCCATTATGTGTACCATTTTATTGCCTTTTTTTCATTCTGACTCCCCAAATGGCGTGTTAGAAAGAGATGGAGAATCCTTCTTCAGTTTCGGAAACCCAGGCAGGCAGTATATCCCAGACAAAATAATACTGGTGGAGCAGAAATCGCGCCGCGTGAAATTCTACCGTTGAAAATGTGCGCTTCACACGCAATCCATTCAGCGTTCATTTTACTCGAATGCCATACTTCAGTCGGTTATCAATAGATGGAATTGTGTGCTTATTCGGCAAGCTCAAAGCTAAAAGTTGGAAAAATCTAAAGCGCGAACAACGGAATAAAACTTCGAGAAAAATCAAATGGAAAACCACAATGAAAGCTTATTGTTATCATTTGTGCTGCAGATGGCATGCGAGTTGAATTATCGATCCAATGAATAACTACCCCTCGTCAGTGCACTTGCGCCGTACAGCCCTGACAACACGCTCACCGTGTTACGAACAGCGGCGTACTCACCCAATCCTTGTACTCACCACTCCGAATCCAAGTGTAGGGAGCATTTTGGTCGTGTCGAATGTTTCCCTCTAGTTTCATTTAATTGCGCGGTGACCCGGTGAATTGCGACTCTGTTCAAAATTTTCCCCTGGAACAAACACGACATGCCACTACATCGGAACGATGAGCGTAGTTTTCCAGTCAAACATAAACTCGAAAAGACTTTATCATCGTTTCACTTCAAAAGATGTAGAAACACTTGAGATTTCAAACAATAAAAAAGCAAACCATCCAAAAATATTTCGAAAGACAATAAACCATTTCCAAACTAAACGAAATTGGAAAAGAATTCAAGTGTGACATTGAAAAATCGTGGCAAGTGAATTGTTTCTTTGGAAACCTTTTGCGCAAATTGCGTTTCAATAATCGTTGACAAGTAACAACAACAACAATAAATCTCACTGAACTACAGAGGAAAACGGAACAACCACAACTACGAAAAAAAAAAACCCGAGGAAATGTGTTCCCAATGTGTGGTTCAGCAATAACTGGGCCGAATCCCAAAATTGTCGAAAATTCGTTAGTGACGTGAATTTTATTTCGGCCGTCGATTTGGCAAATCCAATATGGATGAATGCCACAATGTTGTAATTAATCTTGGTGAATTTGATACAATTAATGTTGATGACGCAACTGGATGTAAAATGGTGAATACATTTCATTAATCGACATTTTTTTATGTTCACACGGCAAAATTATCGATTTTTTTTTTTTCATTCGAATTGTATTTTGATAATGAGTTCATGTTTGAAATGGCTATTCCAATATTTGTGTATTTAATTTTGGTTTTTTTTTTCAGTATATACATCAAAAGTGGTTCTACGTTGCAATTTTAACTAATATCATTTTCATTGTGTTTTTTTTCTGTTACAGGGTCAAACAGAAAGTAAAAAACGTTCCCGGTCCGTTGAGACCAGGGGTACGGCAATGTCATTCGGATTTAAGAAGAAATTACCGTCGCAAAAACGGAGCACATTAACTGCTGATGGTGCTCAATTAAAGGACAATAGTTTGAATTCGACAAATAATTTGAAAACGGACAATGCATGCTGCATTGGCAACAATGATAATAATGGAAATTCGGGTGAGTGTTTGCGCCTTTGATGGGATCTTTTATGCTCGCGTGGGTGTGGATGCAAGCAACACAACAAAAATTACATTAAAATTACTTATATGACTTTCAGTGGAGTCAATTGAATCGTTGAGTGATACGGGTCGTTCAACGCCACGGCTGTCGCCACCAAAGAAAGAAGCAGCAGGCGCTCCATATCGAAGCACACGCTTTGGATTCCGCCTTAATAGGCCAGCGTCAACGGTGCCGAAAAATTCGAGCTGCGAAAATGTTGTGAACAATAATCATTCAGAGGCTAAACTTAATGGTAAATATGTGATAAGAGAACATACAAACTGCAGATATTTCGAAATTTATCGTTGATTTAAATGTTTCATTTGTGGACTATTCTTTGGCATGTGTCCCAACATTTATTACAGCTAAGCCACGTTCGAAGAGTGCGTGCGGCTCACGTCGTTCGATTGCATCGTCGGTTACAAGCAATGAATCGCATCAAAGACATCCAACCGTTCACTTTCAGCTGCCACCATCGCCGATATCATCGCCACGTAAACAGTCCGAATCATCACAGTCAAAGAGGAGCACCGATCCGAAAATAGATAACGATTCGATGATTGCGACAGCCGTCAATAGTAACAACAATAACTATGAAAACAGTCGACACAACACACAAATGCAACGGAAGATGTTTTTCATGCAATCCAATCCCATTCAAAACACTTTCAATCAGAATAAGCCACCAAGCGGAAAACGTTCGTACACGATCATCAACACCGAGTTGCACACAAACGAAATGTGAGTTCGTTTTTTTTTTCTTCTCTACTTAAATACTCAAAATCCCGAATCATTAAAATAACAACAACAGAATAACAAAAAAAATCCAAACCACACACAAATACAAACACGTACATTTTCACGATGAAAGACAGTAAAACCATTCCAATGGTTTCTATAAATATACGGGCCATCGTTGAAAAGGGAACACTTTAGCATTTGCATGCGAGAGTTTGAGCGGGCACTTTTGCTCGGTTTGTCAGTTTTAGAAATGTTGTTTGCGCTCTGCATCGATAATTTTGAACATTGAGACATCTTCCGTTCATTTTTTCTTTTCGTTTCTCTCCTGTGTGTCTCTTATTCTACTATTATTTTGCTGTTGTGTTGTATTTCAGTCATCGTCCGACGCCACAAGCGGCAACGACAATCGTCTCGAAATTCACATTGCACACATCTAGTTTACCGCAGCCACAGTACCCAGTTCCATTCAGAGTGCCAGTTAGCTTAGCACCACGCTATTCAATGGACGTGAAAAATGCCAAACAAGCAGCAAATACCACAAAGAAAGGCTTTCAGGCATCGCAACGTGAAATATCGGCTGATTCGGGCATCGGAAGCCTAAGCAGCCACAGCAGTGGCGCTATTGATGTAAAAAAATCGCCACAGCGACAAAGAAGTCGACCGAGAAACCTTGAAATGGTTTTCAGTGGACGAAATAAATTTCATGTACGCGATTTGGCCGAAGATTCACTTTCCGATGATAGTATACAACCGTTGGCATTGCCACAACTTCCCACTGTGTACAGCTCAAAAACTCAACCTGCTAATTTGAGGTGGGGATATTCTTTTTTTCGTTTGGTTTTGTTTTGGATTTGGTTTTGGTTTTTGTTTTGCAAATGCACACTTGCATATTATTTCGCAAGCAGAATAAGAATTAAATTTACATGTATTTTTTGTAGTGGTTTGGTTCGAGCAACAAATAACCACGGCAACAGAGCTTCGATCAATTCCATCGACAGCATCAACAAACGCATTGAGTTGAGCAATCGACAAATGTCGTTCAATTCATTGGGTGGTGAAACGGTTGAAGAGGAAAAACTACAACGGGATAATTCGGTCACAGAAAAGGGGAACAATCGAATGATGGTGGCGCCTGCATATCTCAGCAAAAGCCCATCGGCATCCAATTCTATAACCGTGAGTAACCTTTGAAATGAGGTCATTGGCATTTTCGAATTTAATCGATTGATTTTAACAATTCAATCTTGAATTTTATCAGGGAATGAGCATCGGCGAGGTGATGGCTATAAAAGATGGTTTTAGCATAAGCAGCAGTGATTCGAGCAAACGGAATAACAATCAAATGGAATATGATGACGATATCAGTACGATAACATCAACAACTGACAACAAATTTAATTCGATCTGTGAGTTTTTAATTTTATTTCCTGGTCTTGGATTCGACAATTCTAATTTTAATTGATTTTTGTGCAGCCTCAACAACAATGCCTCAATCACAATTTGATACACCGTCAGCACCAAATACGAACGATGTGGTGAAAGATCGAAAGTTCGCAGCGCTAACTGCTTCTTTGAATGACATCCTAATTGATGACGAAACATCACCATCAGACAGTCTAATCAGTAGTACAGCATCGGATGACCTAAGCTCCAAGAATAACAACAATAACAATAATAAAAAGAAAATCGCTGAGGCGATCAAAGATGCCGATGAAAAAGATATAAATGACGTGTCACCGATTTTCGAAGTGGCTAGCCCGATATCGCATGGAACGCCAACACATGCAACGAATTCGTTCTCATTTTCGGACGGTGATGGTGGCCGAGATTTTTTGATTGATGACGAAATAGCCGATCAACCAGTGCTATGTTTTGGCGATAATCAGGGTATAACCCAAATGACTCATTTGCATAGTTCTATCAAACGAAATTGCATTGAAAATTCTCAACACCATTCGTTTTTTTCTTCTTTGATTTTCTAGCATCAAGTACACAATTGCATTCGATGATTGATACACCCACGCTAAAAGAAACATCATCGGCAAAATCGTCAATAAAACGAAAGCCTACATCAAACAATAACAGTGCCACCAATTCGTATGCACCGCAGGCAAAACCACGGCAATCAGTCATTTCAAGAGCCGAATCGCTTGACACTCTATCACCATGTGAATCTATTTGCTCGGACGATTTAATGATGGATTTCGAGTGCAACAGCAGCATCGATTCCATTGATCGAGTGTCCAGATCGAATCCAAGTGCGGTGGGGGATGCGAACAGCATTAATGGCAGCACAACAAAAGTCAATCGACTTGATGAAGCTCAACTGTGGAACGAATTCGAACAGAACGGTGGTGGACATTTCAGGGATTGGAGCTATTTATTAAAAACGTCGCGAAATAAATGCCAAGACATTTCTGTGTAAGTAGATTTCGTTTAAATACTTTTTTTCTTCTATGATGAAGCGAGCCCATTTAGCACTTGAACAATCACAAAGGTAAAATGTGACTGTATAAATTGAATTGCCTTTTACGGTCAAATAAAACAAAGGAATGCGATCGATATTTTAGGCTTGGAAAACGCTAAACCAAACGAGAAAAAAAATTCATCGCTTTTTTCGCATCTATTTTTACCACATTTAACTGTCGCAGCAATGAATTCACTTTGCTTCAGTCATAAAATAGAAACGCCGCTGAATTATCATTAGGATATATGCCACCGGTTAGCATGCAATTTCAAATGAAATTCACTTAGCGAACGAGACAAAAAAAGACCATTCATAAAGTAAATCAACGGAAATAAATGTTGCGGTAAAATATATGCCTAACTGCAGGAGTTTTTCAAGATTCATGCGGCAAATCAGCGTAGAAAGACTTTTCATGGTTAAACTATTTAGCGGCTTTGCATAAAACAAGTTTAAAATTAGAAAAAAAAAATCCCATCGCTGAAGATATGTGTTTCATTATCTTCGAACAAAATTCATGGTATGTACCCTTCTGTGTGATGCAGAAGAATGGTGAAAATATCATTCTTTGAAGAACAAAGTTGTTCCATAGCTGCAGAAGAATGTAAAAGTTCAACTAGTGAAAATTGAATTTCCTCCATTTTCTTCCAAAATAAATGAAGAAAAAAACTAGCTCAAGGTATGCATTTAAAAGAGACTTGCATTGCGCAAAGTAAACAATTTTTTTCTGCACTTTTTTCCTGAATCAGTTGTAAAATGAAAAAAAAAATTGATTTGACAGAATTGTCTGTTTTCCATTCGAAACCATACTCAATAACTCATTTCAATGTTGTTTTTTTTTTGTTGTAAAAAACAAAACGTTCCATTTTGCACCCATTAACCAGAACAATGTAGAAAAAAAAATATGCAAAATCGTTTAAAACTTAAAGCCGTAATATTTCATGTTAATTGCCATTTAAAGTGACTTTTTGTTGAAACCGAGAGAGACACATACAACTATTTTACATTACATCAACACATTTTAATAATAGCATGTGTTTTCCGTTATCGTTTCATTTGCGGGTAAATTGTGTTTTGTTTTATTTTCCTCTCCAATTCGTGCTATTATTGAATTGCATGTGGCAGGCACTTTCCGTGAAGTTTATTACGTGAGTGAGAGCAAAGAAACTGCAGCCCATCGGCAAGAAGTATACAAATTAAAGAAGAATAACCAATTTCTATATGCTCACGGAATTAACAAGAGCAAAATAAAACCGAGAAGAAAGGAAAAACAAAATAAGTTGAAGAAACCGTAATTCAATTGTAAAATAGCTGGTGTCAATAACTTAGGCAATATCTCAAACGGTGTTATAGCGCTGTAGTATTTAATGGTGTATCATCGTTTCGCAATTATTTCACTTCAAAACATATGTACATATATTTTGGTTTGTTGCACAAAACTGTAATGGATATCTGGTTGGGAATTGGGCGAACAAGGTTTTGATACGGTTTTGATGTGTGTGATGTTCTTGAATTTCTTGAACAAGTTCAGTCAACGACCAAACGACCTATGCAAAGCCAAGTTACTAAATTGGAACAGTCACTAAGTCAAAGTTATATCACGCGGTAATAGTATAGTTTAATGCGTGCAAAGTCGATGTCATTTGCGAAAGGCCACAGCTAAATAGACGTGAGTCAAGCCGCACTAGTTTTACTAATCCAAATCCATGTCAGACGGCTTTTGGTTCTTTTTTGTTTCTTCTACTTCTTCTCGTTTCGATTCGTTCATGCTCAAGTTCTTTGGTGATGTCGATACGCGAATGTATTCATGAGCAAAACAACAATGAGACCAACCAGCACACATTCTCACACACTGGCGCATTGTATTTTATTACGCTAAAAACAGCCGCAACCACTGAATAAAAGTAATAAAAACTGTCGAGAGAAAAAAAAAACGAAACATTTGTTGTACTGTGACGATTGCTCGGTGTCTGACGTGTACTGCACGTACGCATATCTCATACGCATCTACGTGCGAGCGCCGTGAGTGAGCACAATGGCATAGCCGTCATTAGAAGAAAGTCAAATCAAAACGCTAAATGTCCATCAACAAACATTCCTCTTCTCTCACACACACACACATAGAGAACGCGACAATGTGTCTGTTTCTGTTTCTGTTGTTGTTGTTGTTTTACTTTAGTTCAAGTGAATATTGCTGGACGCTCGGATGTCTGTGTTGTGTTTGGTGCTGCACATGAAAATAATATGTTGTACGGTGATTGTGTGTAGCTCGAATAACATTTTCTTACCATTTCTTCTCATGTATTGTTCAGCTCAGCTGCTTTGGCAGTTCAACGATGCGCGAACACTTCAATCTGAATGCGTTCACTCGAACCAACATCAGCCCAACATTTTGATCTATTCGAATCGTGGCTGACAGTAGAACAATAAAAAGGTTCTCCGCTTGCTTCCGAACAGTTTGTGTTGTTTTGTGCATTTATTGTTTATTACCATTTATTTCGCTGTGTTTGTGTGTTTGTGATGCTTGAATCGAACGATGAAAAATATTTTCTGTGCATTTATTGTTCATTATTACAAATAAAATGAGTGATCCGAAGGCGTGGACCAAAGAAATGTAGCGATGTGAATGTTTTTGTGCATAAATCTGAATAAATTGAAGGCCTCATTTGACACATGAACGAGTACAAATGCATGCCAGTGATTTTTGTTTGCATTTAACCATAAAATATCGAATAGCATCCAGCCAAGTGGTCACCATATTCAACGTTGCTATTTTTTTTGTTGTGAAAGATCTCTGCCAATTTAATAAGATCACTTCAATCGCATTTCACCATTTTTAAGCGATGCTCCCATATGAATTCCATTCCCTCGATCGTATCATGTCTTACCTGCGATGGAATATATTCACCTCTCGTTCACCTCGCTATTTGGCCTGATTTAATTCTTCAATTTGTCGACGAAAGAATATACGAACACGAGAAAATCGCATTTCATGTATATGTCGATCTGTAAATTGGCTTACATATTTTGAACTCTGTGATCTACTAACGAACATTGGTTTTGAGTATGGAATTCAAAACGATAACCAAAGAAACGTCTGTGACCGTCATGGAATCAAACCGACCAATAACAAATAATCACATCATCATTAGGTAAATTTTATTTTCATTTCATTTCAACAAACGAATCTATGATTATTTAGCGTCCCAAATGAAAATTTTAGCTCGTCATACATTCATGGATGTTCACCCAAAAAAAAAAAAAGTCTGAACAAACAAAGCGCTGTGTGAAATTCCAATATGAAGAACGTTCCAAATTACTTGGTTGATTTGCTATAACATGGAAGAGAGAAACAAAAACACAACGCTAAATCCCCCAGCATATTAATGCTATTTATGGTCAGCATATTGAATAATTCTCTCCTTTCGCCAAAGTGTACAAGAACGTTTCAGTTTTGAAAAAGGTTTTTGTTGCTGGCACACGATGCCAGTGTGTATTTGTTTTTTCCTTTTCTTTTCTTCTGCAGTTGAAGAAATGATTTGAATAAATTGTTGTAGCGCACTCGATGAAAATCGCGTTAACATCCATACCGTCACACACTCACACACTTGTTTGGCTTGAGTATTTTGTCGCGTCTTTCGTGACAAATTCCCATAAAATGCCTTTCCCTCTCTCTCCTTCTCGCTCTTTATGCAAGGTTCTTAAGCGTTTGCCGATTTCTTTAGTTTATTTTTCACAATCCATAAATAGAAAAGCAAAACAAAAATCAATGAACAAATTTGAATATCGTGACAGAAGACAGACACAATACTCGCAACATTGTTTGTCTCGCACAACCGCCGAATATTATTTAAATTATTTTTATTTTTCTCTTGTTTTCTTCTTCCAACTACTGAAGAGATATATGAATGGAGAAGTGTTACCGTTGCACTGAAAGTTATAAATTGTTGTCGGCCCCAAAGTTGCTACCGCATTGAAGATCCCAAAAAAACCAACAACGTTGTTTATTACGATTTGTTGAATGGCTTTCGGAAACTAGTTACAAGAAGCAAAAAAATCGTCAAACAATGCGCTATGCGTTCACTTTCACCTGCCGCACGAAATCACACCGTGCATTTGGAAGCACACACTCGAAACAAGCAAACGAAACGAAAAAAAAAAAAAGAAATTATATAAATTATTCTAGCGATGAGCCAAACCGAACGGTTGCAATGCTCTTCATTTTTTGTTGTTGCATTATTATGTTTTGCTGCACTTGCATAAATACAACAAACACATTCACAATCGCCTAGGTGGTGTGTACGGGCTCGCGCTCTGTATGCCGCCACTTGTATAGATAGAGTTATTGGAATCTATTTCTTTTTTGTTCGTTTTTTTTTCGTATTTTTTCACTTCACTGCATTCGCTAGCCGCAATGTTTGCTTTTAACTGAGCTACCAAGAGCTAATTTAGATTACTTACAATTCGATTTTGTTTGTTGGCGAGGTTTTGCGCGTTTTTCAGTTTTACCGTCGATGCGCTGACCATTTTTATTTGTTATTTGTTTTAATTTAAATTCCCCTGAAGTGAATTGATCGTTTTCCGTTTCCCAAAAAAAAAAAAAAAAAACAAAGAAAAACCAGTCAATTTTCAAGATCTTCATTGCCTCCGGCTGAGTTGTGTTTATTTCACGTCGTTGATGATTGACCTGTGGTCTCTATCTTTCGTGCTGTCTTTTGCAACGGTGAATGAAAATGATGTGAATGACTGTGGTTTTGAATATTTAGTGGGAGCTATACAGCGTTTTGACTGTAATTGTTGGAAAGTCAATATCACATCAAAACACGAATTCGTGGAGCAGAACGACGCGTGAACGTGATATGACAAAGAATATTTGTCATAGTTTTTTTTTTTTTAAATATACGTGCATAATTGAAACTAATTGCATTTTAATGTAATTTTGAGTGTCGTATTATATAATTTTTTCTGTTGATGGTTTCGATATGTCGAGAGTGTTTATCTCGGTTGAAAGTATGATCAGTAGGCAATCGAAAATTACTTTGCTCGATGAAATGGTTACGGGAATTTTATCGTGACATTGAATACCGTACCATAGTTGCCGACGACTCGGTGTTTATATGAAATTATTGCGATTCGTACGCGTATGAGATACAGAATTTATTTACACCGTTTCGCAATATTTCCCAGTGAATGACGATTGCCTAAATTTTGTTTGGGCTGATTTTTGTTTATCTTCATTTTCGTTGTTTTTGTTCGTGCGTTCGCTGAGAAAATCGCAAACAATTGCGTACTATTTTGCAAAGAAAAACATTTATTTGTGTAATGACAGTTTAGAATCGAAATGGCATGATTAGTGTGTGTTCTTCGATCCAGACGTTCGAACGAAACGTTTGAACCACAGAAGAAAAAAAAATTTGCGGGTCGCGTACGTTGTTCGTCTATCACACGTCATTCAGTGCGAATGATTCATGCTACCGTGGCACGATTGTGTGTCTTATAGCTTATACCGTTGTCTTTTTTGTATTATTTTTTTTTTTTTTTTTTTTTTGCAAAACAAAATTATATATTCTTCGTAGTGAACTTAAATGTGTGCGTGCAGAAAAAAAAAAACTAATTAACTATCGTTGAAAGTACATAATGAATGTGTTTTCGCCGCTTGGTGCAAGGCGAATAAAAACTGACCTAAGGCCGTCCGATGCATTTATTGTTCCAAAGACTGATCCAAAGCCAATTATGTGCGTAAATAAATCGGTGATTGATTCAACAAGTGGCTCGATTTAGTTAAATTTTTTCGTTCATCCAATATCAGCATCAATGTTTTAATTTTGAATGTTCGATTGTATTTCGTAAACAGTTCTCAGCTTCCAGCTCGATCAACGCGACTTTTGAATCGGTCTCGTCTGCATCATACCAATCTCAATGGCACAGAGAGTCCACGTTCAATTGAAAATTTGAATTTAATCCATAAAACAGTATCGCAATTTGGACGCGACTCTGCCAATGGTTCTCCGGATGAGCAACTCTTTATGCTGGATAAAACCCTGCGAAATTCTATGATCCAAGATGTACAATACTGTAAACAACAGTTGCTGCAGTTGCGTAGCATTTTGCAGGAAGTAAGTGTTGGCATTTAACTAACGTCAAAATTGATTGTATGTTGCATGTTACGTGTACGTCTTGTACTCGACCTGTATTCAATTTCAATTAATTATTGTTTAATTTTCAAGCTAATTTATGTTTGTCGCATGTTTATATGATGTGATTGTTTCATTGGATTTTATTTTATCTTTTTTTTTATAATATGATTTATGTTTTTTGCGTGTTGATCGTTTGTTTTTGTTTATAACATTGTTGTTGAACCAGAACGAGGAATATTTGATGACGAGGGTATGTTTCAGTTTGTCTTATCAATTTATTGTCCAAAATTTGATTTGTTTTGTGTTGTATTCGTTTGGTTGATTGTTCTGAAGTTTTGGTTTATCCATCGAACTAATTTTGATTTGATTTGATTTTTTTTTTCTTTGTGCACTGTAGACGGCTTCTCTCAACTCATTTGAAAATAATAATGGGAAATTCTTCGATGCATCCGGTGGATATGACGGTACATTGACCAATGTGGACTGTAAAGAACGTGATAATTATTCACCATCTTTGTCTGACGATCCGAAGCATGATTTGGTTGACCTCAAACGTCAGGTGGTTTATCTTCAGGTACTAAGCACGCGTTCCCTGTTCTTCATTTCGCTTTTTTTCTGTATCCATTATAATTTCGATTTATCATTTTTCAACAATTGTGTTTCTCAATCTTACGTACAACAACGATTTGTTTTCCGTTTTTTATTGAGCCTATGCTAAAAACCGAGAGAAAAAAAGAACAAACGATCTGAAATGATCAAATACAAAATAAAAATAAAGAGAAAAAAACACGTTATGGTCATGGATAATACGGGCACGAATTTTCATTCCAATTACTAAATCAATATCTAAAAAAAGAGTAAAAAATAATGAAAAACATGAGAGATAAAAACTCGATTCCAAACACACACACAATGCCTCAGCTCGTGAATGACGATAGAATATCGATAAGATGTCACTCGCTTCGTTTCGGTTTGCTACAATAAATAAACATCTCTTTTATGTTTCATTCAATACTTACCTTCTGAATTTGTGTCATATTTTTAATTTATAACCAAAAAAAAAACATGACATTTTCTATTTATTTCTTTGTTTTTCCATTCAAATTTGAATTCTATGTAATTTATTCATACGGTTCTTTAACCAAACAATAACTGTACAGTCATCATAGTTGTCGAATGCAGCATGTCATTCTCCATAGCGAAATTATTCAATTATTTTATTTCCATGTAAAACCAAAAATATTTAATATTTACTAAGTAAGCGGATTGATTTGCTGACCATCTTCTGTTCCTTTTTTCATGTATTATTACCGCATCATTCTCTTGAATAATAGTAAAATATCATTGATTGTCTTTAGTCGGCATGCATCACAAATTAAAATATTTCTAATCGATTTTTTATGTTTTGTTTTTGATGTCGTTTTGGTGGCGCCAAACAGAGTCAACTCGATGATAAGGATCGAACTATTCGAATTCAGCAAAATTTGATAAGCAAGCTTGAAGCAGAAATGGATCAAGTGAATAACGGTAAAAATGACATACAATCCGAACAAATGATTGATACCGTAAACACCGCAACGCAGACTGATCGAGTAAGTTATCACATTTGATTCGACTACTTTGTTCGAATTTGAATTTTGATTAAATGGCTTTTATTTTGCTTCAGGTGCGACCAATTTCAATGAATTTTGACGGATCGAATAGGTAAGAATCGAATAATTTCCGTTCACTCAATTTACCATTAAGTTTCTACATTCACATTTACACACACACACACACACACACATGCACCAACACCACCCAACAGTCTCCACAAAAAAAAACAGACTCCAATCCCAACTGAATTTTAATTTTATTTTTAATTTCAAGTAGTAATGTGTTTGGCATTTTTCTCTTCCAGAAATTTGTCAACCGCTATTTTTTTCACATTAAACAATTTTTGGTTATTTGATCGCAAAAACATTTCTCAAACATTTCGTTCGTATGTGCAACGTATTCTACGAGCCGTACCGCATACAGCCGATTATTACCGTTCAATTTTGCCAACAACAACATCGTTTCATTCGCTTGCCATGGGCACACATAATTTACTGCCATTGTCATTCATCGAACACCACGGCACCATTTTCCGTTCATTTGCATTCAGAAAATTGATAGAATCGCTTAGCTTTTTATCGATTGCATTCTCATTTCACTATCATATCTATGAGCGTCCATTATCAAATCAATCATATCTATTGAACAATGTATTTTTTGCCATTCAATTGATATTTACATCGACCAACTGTAACAATATTCTTTAGCAATAAATTCGAATAGTCTCTGAAATTTTGAAGCAAGATACAAAACAAAACGGCATATTTTTTTCTTCTCTCTCTCTCTCTCTCTCGCTCTCTCTCTCTCTCTTTCATTCTTTTCACGCTGCATTCTATGTGTGTGGCCTGGTTATCCTAACAACACTACATATAAACAAAAACGAATATCAATCTGCGGATGACTATGTGGGTATTCTATGTTCATTTTTTTATTTCATTCATTTAACACAACCAAAATGATGATATGCAATAGAAATGACGCGGGCCAGGTACTATTTTGTGATTGTATTTTATCAATTGTATTGCTATGTTCGATTAATATCATTTGCTTTGTGTACTTATGCCTAACATGTGCCAGTTCAAGGCATTACAAAGACTGTTAAATTCGCACAAAGTTCACACACCCACATACTCTCCACTCAAAAGACAATCGACAAGCAAACTGAGAGAATTCATGTACATTTTTTTCTAAAGAAAAATCCATTTACACTCCATACACACCTAGGGGCATTTAACTCGAGAAAAATTCGTTTTATGCGAAGAATATGCGCTTCAACTCATAGTATGTGGCGATTTGTTCGTACTATGCGTATTATGCGGTGCCTATTCGTTAGAAGTGCACACATTCGATGTCCGAATACTGCACATAGACCATTCATACTGCGAATAATTTCGCATGAATTCTACTAAAATGTTTCCTTCTCTGATTGGTCACACGCCACAATATCGACTATTTTGAATTCAAAGTGCAACGACTTTTTTCATGTAAAAATTCAAGAAATACTTGACTGCAAGTGTTTGATTTGTACTTATTTCGGCTCACATTTTTTGCTGATCATTTTTGTTAACTTCATATGGATTTTTTTTTATTTATAATCCAGATGCTATTTCCAAGTATAATGAATCGTCGCACTTATTTTTTCAACGATTTTTATATCTACCAAAACTATCGGCGATTTTACTTCAATATTTGTATAATATAACATTTTGATTTTCGTTTTCATTCTTATTCTTTGCTATTATATTTTAATTTTGTGTTATATTTAAATTCAATTTTCATCAATTAAGAACAATCTCATTAGCAAGAGATTTGATAAATATTAAAGACAGAAATTGTTGATGTCAAATATTGTTTGAACGAAACTTAACGATACAACAGAATGTTGACATTGTGTTGATGCGTCTTAAATCGCATCGTAGCGTCATTATATGCACGCGTATTCGCTTCTATGCGTAATATTCGTGACTATGTGCAAAATTCGACACACTTCACTGTGGCACACAATCTATGCGCGTTTATCCGTACAAATCGCATATATGAAAAAGAGTAAAAAGCCCCTAGATACACACACACACACAATTGTCACACTTAAATTCATTAAAACTGTCTTTTTGATCTTCGGAATCACTATTCTCTCAGTTTATGGCTTCGTATGACCCAACCCAATAAAAATACGTATACATTATACTCTGTGCAAATCGGTTGACATTGATACGAGACCGAGGTTCATAAAATCAAAACACCTCTGTGGTAACTTATATGCATATACATATTTAACAATTTTAACTCAATTGTTGGAATAAATCATGTTATTTTCATTGAGGAAAGGAAATTTGATTTTTTCAGCCAATTTCTCAAAATTCAATGATCAATCAAACAAATTAGAGCCTTAACATTGTAAGAGTGCCATAAAATGAATAATAATTTTGAAGAAAAAAAATCTAAATTTACCGAGAAAAGTGTTTTAGAACTGAATCAAAAGACTATTTTATCGTGATTTTTTCAACAATTCAAATGATCCGCTACCAAAAGACTCGAATTTATGTGCATTGTGAGCTTATGTCAGTTGAAATGTGCTATTTTGAATAACCCAACTAATAAAATTGTTGCGATAGAACCAACAATTTATATCCTATATAGAAATGAGCGTGTATGGCTAAGCATTTGCGATCAATAACATGGATTGCATTTTTATTAATAAATCAATTGAACTACTATCAATTTGACGTTTTGTTGTTTGTCAACGTTTTCATTTAGTTATCATTCGATTTGATAAATCTCTCGAAATAATGAATGTATCGATTTGTTTTTCGTTTCTTTCATGCTGCTCCAACTTATTTAGTGTCAGTAAGGTAAAATTCAATGCTAACAAAATGTTGTTCCTATAACCATTCTTTTTTGTGGTTCACTTAGGCTGAAATAAATGAAAAAAAAAAGCCTGGGAATAAATTCATTCACTTGATTAATTTTTTTCTTTTCTTTTTTGATCTTTTATCTAGTAATCGGATTGAAGATGAAGATGTATCATTGCTGCGAGTGTCAACGGCATCGAGTGTATCATCATCTTCATCGTCTCTATCGTCCACATCGAAGTCACCAAAAAGAAACTTATCGAATACTGTGATTGGTAAAAAGATTTTATTTGAAAATAATTTTCAAAAATCGACGGCGGAAAAAACATTAGCCAGCAAAAGTATCCAGACGACACCAACACTTGGCCGGGTAACGAACGGTGAATGGCCGCCAACATCCGTAGCGAATGATTCAACACAACGGGCTGAGAGTAAATATTTTCGAAACATTGTTGGAAATACGGCGGACAAAGCCAAAATGCTCTCTCAACACAACGACCTGAATGTACAAATAAATCGAACTTTACCGATCAAATCAGTCAAATTGCTGAATAACTTAAATGCATTAAAGTTAAAATAATCGGTAGTTGGTACACATCGCTCCAGAAACCACATTTTGGAATCTATAACCATTGGTTACTAACCAATCACTATCACAAAATTATTATGTTTTATTTTATATTATTTATTTATTTCTCTTTTTCACTGAGACACCTCAAAAATCATTTAACTGTATTATACTTGAATTGCTATTTAAACTGGCTGATCTCTTAGCATCACCTTATTATGAAAATCATTAAATGTAAAAGATGAAAAAGAAAAAAAAAAAAAAATCCTGAAGTGAAATAGTGGATGAGGTTTTCTTTGAATGAGTATTTTACCGGAGACATGCAATATTAATTAACATGGATTATTACGCAGTTGACAGAAATTATATGAATGTATCAATAGACAATTTGCATACAAATATTATACAAACAAAATATTTTATAGTAATTCCAAATCAATGCATTTTCAAACTGAAGTAAAACGAAACAATATCAAACATTGAATGAGAAAAAAATACTAAGGAAAATTACACCATTTTCAAAAAATAAACCATTCAACATCATCGAAGATTCATTTAACCAACATTATTATGCTCTGAATTTGTTTCCCCATCAAGTTGAACATTATTTTGACTTTTGTTTTAAAGGTGTAAATATTTATTGGAATTACTTTTTACAAATACCATTTGCTTCAGCGATTTAGTGCAATTTTGTATATAAACAAATGAGTTTTTTTTTAGAGACATTCCAAGAATTAGGTTTTCCTTTTCTTTTTCATTATTTCACAATTACATTACATTTTTCACCGACAATTTCTTTTTCGACTTTGTCATTAAATTTAAGGCTATTTTTTGAATTGTATGTAAGATGTATACAAATAAAATAATTGCATTTAAATTTGAAGTATAGCGAAATTTACACCGTTGTTTTAGTTGTGCCTTAAAAACATGCAATAATAAATAATTAAAGTGTATTAACACACATACACACACACTCCATCCCTCTCTTTCGCTCTTACTACCCTACATACATACATTTATTTATTACTTTTCCGCACACGAAGTGTGAAGGAAAGTATAGCGATCGTCGTGAAAATTTTAAATTTTCGTTGTATACACGATAACTTACAAAATAGTAGAGCGATTTTGCCTAGGGGCATTTCTCACACAAAAAATTTGAGCAAATGTGCAAAAATGTCTATTATTTCTTCTTTTTTATTGAAATTGTAAGAAAATGTACTGAAATGACGATATTACTTGAATAAAAGTGTTCTGGAAGTGGGTTTTGGTGGATCCTCAGGATGGACCAGATCGGGTTTGACAATGCCCTGGCCCATCCTGAAGATCCACTTCCAGAACCGGGAGCAGTTCTGAACGATCCTTGAGATCCACCAAAACCCACTTCCAGAACACAAGTTCAGTGTAAATGAACATTTATTTACACGAATAGATAAAAATTGATCGAATCGGACCGAACGGAAGAAATTTTTCAAAATTTATAAGAATTCATTCATTCTTTTCGTGAGAAATTCCCCTAGATTTTGCTTAAATTTGGCCAGGAGGTAGCTTACGTAAATATCTTGGATGTATCAGAAGTTGGACCAAATTGAGCCAGTCCATCTGGTACTTTTGCTACATCATAGATTTTCATCAAAGGGTCCCCCTTGGATTTTTTCGGGAAAAAATTTCTTTTTTCACCACAAAAAAAAAAATGCATTTTTTGGTTATTTAAACCAAATTTTGGCTTAGTCTTCCTCGCGATTTTTTCGTGGTAAACCGTGTTAAACGATGTTTTACCAAGGTGGCCGACCATGATGGTCTGTTTTTAATTACTTTTTTCGCTTCAAAATGCATTTTCTGGCTATTGCTGGCTGTTTTTTATATGTTAGCCGTGTTAAATGGTGTTCTCACCACGATGGACGATTTTGATGTCCTTTTTACTGTTTCGAAAAACCCACGAAAATTCCTTGTATACACGATAACTTTCGAATCTCTTGAGCGATTTTGTTTAAATATGGTGTCTTATATAAATATCTTGAATGTATCAGAAGTTGGACCGAATTGGACCAGTCTATCTGGTACTTTTGGTATATCATGGAATTTCACCCTTGGATTTTTCGATCAAAAAAAAATTCTATAATTTTTTTTTTTACTGTTTTTACACGATTTTCCCATGGTAAGTGATGTTAAATGGTGTTATAACACGATGGTCGACCACGATGGACTTCATACCATTTTTACATAGTATGGTCAATATGGGTATCATATGAAAGGTCTTTGAACGGAGATGAACATAAATACCATCCGGGTCCTTCATGGTTATGGTAACATCACTTAACAATTGTAACATTCCATCCAAGTGATCTATATTTTACATTCCACCGGAAATGTGCGGAAAAGTTCGTTTTACATGGTAAAACATTTTATTTATTTTTTTTTTTTTATCAAACACCGCCAAGCTCTGGCTGAATATAATGTGGGTTTTGATTGAGGTTTGGCAGGAAAAGAGCGCAAGACTGTTACATATTTAAAATAATAAACAATTAGTAGCAATAGGTTTCGATAACTATCAGTTCTCACCTCGTTAAAAACCTGGCTCTTTTCGTAAATTATGCGGTAATCACAATAGTAGGAACATGAAAACGAAAACAGTCATGCAACCAAGATGGAAATGCCTGATATAAGTCTATGGCAAACGGTCCAAGATAACCTTTGGTAAACGTATCCAAGGGACAGAGGCTATGTGAAGCGTTTAATTACGCGTTAATTTGAGACTCTAGGACAGCAAAAGTCGTCGCTCAATTTATACCGGTAGATAAATTGACGAGAAGTTTTACGTCTGTAAAGGCAGATCCATGTTGATTGCAGAGTGCATTGAGTTGACATGGACTATGATTTGAAACGTAACTAGAGCATTTGATGCTATTTGATAAATAATTCAAATTTGATTTCAATGATAAGAATATTAAGTCGCCAATTCGTGGATGGCTTTAACAAAGAACAAAATGAATTTACAATAAATAAGTGTTAGACCTCATCGATGTGTTTGGCAAAAGATAGCTTTCTGTCAATTAGAACACCCAAGTCCTTATGTTCAGTCACTTTGTCGAAGGTGTGGTCGAAATAGGTGTAGCTTTTATCCAAATGCTCACGTTTCTTGAAGATAGATAGTACTGCACATTTTTTGAGGTTAAGGCGCAGCCGATTCACGTCACACCAATGTTTAAGTTTGTCGATGGCTTGTTGCAATATCTCCGAATCTTGCTGAGATTTGATGATTTTGGCAATTTTGATATCGTAGCAAACAATAATATCATGATATCTTGGGGCATTTGATCCACGATGTCGTTGATGAACAGCAGAAACAGTGTTGGACTGAGGTGGCTCCCCTGTGGGACACCCGACGACGATGTAAAGTCGACCGACTCACTTGCTCCATGTTTGACAAATTGGGTACGATTTTCCAGATATGACTTAAACCATGCCAGCAAGTTTTGAGGTAGATTGAATGTTTCCAACTTCTGGATCAAAATGCTGTGATCAACTCGATCGAAGGCTTTCGTAAAGTCCGTGTACAGGACATCAACTTGAGCTCCAATGTTCAAGCCACTCTGGGCGTAGTACACAAACTCGGTAAGGTTTTATGCTGTAGATCATCCTTTCATAAAGCCATGTTGGTTAGGCATCTTAAGCAGGTCCACACAAACACACAGGCGACGTTGGTGTTATATTTCGATGCCGTTCTATTTCACTGGATGCATGTACTGGAATACAGAGGAGCATCATAGGTAATAAAACGGTAGGTAAATCGAAACGGACAAAATTCGTTTTTATTAATTCGCGGCCGGTGCGGTCAAAGTCATTATTATGTCAAATTGCATTTCCATAATGCATTATGAAAATGATTATTGTAATTTTTTGGTCGATGCCAATGATGTGAATGGTAATTGGGAGTCAAATATCGAGATGAAAAAAAAATTGTGAATATGACCCCTCCGGCCCAGTGAAGATCATGTTCGGTACAGCTGTCTGTAGTACGAATAAAAACAGAAAGAGGCAATAATTTGGAACAAACTACGCGATCGAAAGGCAAGATCCAATTCAACAAACTTTTAAAATCAATCAGAGTAGGATTTCAAAATGATCAATTTGCATGCGTTATTTGTTGCAGATAATTCAATTTTGGGCGCATTTGTCACAATATGGACATTTGTTAATCAGTTTGATCGATGCAAATAAAATTGCAGTCTCAATAAACAAAAGTAAAACGCTTGAATAATTGAAAGTACCTAAAGTACGCGATATAAATTCGAATCGGTAAA